ATAGCGATGGCCTCCAACCCAACAGCAATGGCCTCCAACCCAATAGCGATGGCCTCCAACCCAATAGCGATGGCCTCCAACCTAATAGAAATGGCCTCCAACCTACTAGGGATGGTCTCCAACCTAGTAGCGATGGCCTCCACATGAGTCTCATGTCACGATCCAAGTGGCTTGCTGTTGTGTTTTTTTGGCAGTTCTTGAACACCACCGAGCATTGTCCTTGTTTTAAACTATTTTACTTTTCTCAGGTCAGCATTGTGTAGAGCGCAACGGTGCCTTTTTGAAGGTCCGTCAAGCGGGAAACTCTGACTCTTGATCGAAACCTCGACAGCTTTGGCAATTCCTCTTTCTTGGCAGTCCCTGTTCGTGATTGAACGCATAAATATTTCACTACAAGATCACTACAACATGTAAAACTGAAGTAGTAAAATTAGGTGCTGAAACATGCTAAGATGCTGTGACCTTGATGTGTTGTCCTTCTTTGGGAGGATTTACGTCGACTTGGGCGTCCGATGGACAGGATTGTCCTGGTGGACAATTCGCCCGTCTCCCGGGCTAGTTGAAGAACCTTTTGAGCGAATTGATTTCAGCAGTCTTACATACCCGCTACCCTAAGCTTTTGGCACGTGGAAACATTTTTGGGTTTGTACTCCGAATGCTCCCAGAGCGTTTGCATGCTCAGAATCATTCGCTTGGTCAGAAACACTGTGCTGTGCACTTTGCTACGAACTGTTGTGCCCAAATTTATTAATAACTACATATATCTAGAGTTACATAGAAATAGTTGGAGGCCATCGCTATTAGGTTGGAGGCCCGTGCTTTGCACTTGTGGGGACGGTCGCACGCAGGTCTCTTTGGCATTGTGCCTCGACAATGGCGTCATGGTCTCAAGCTGGACCGAGTCGAAACGGGAAAGCATTCTTTTCTACTAGGAACAAGTGCATCGCTACTAGTAACAAGTGCCTTACTAGTAGTAACAAGAAGCTAGTAGAAACAAAAATTAGATTAGAATTAAATTGTTTCTAATCCTAGTAGCGATGGCCTCCAACCTACTAGCTATGGCCTCCTGCACAATTTGAGCCAGGGAGGGTAGACTGCTAGAACCACAAGCGCAGCTTATTTCATGCATTCAACATGGCGAGGACAGCAGAAAACCCTGCTGATCGAGAGCTTTTGGAGCTCCTCTTGCTTCTGCAACATTGCGTGAAAGAGGCAAGAGAGACTCAGAGGCAACAAATGACAGAAAAGAAAGAAGTCCTGCAGAAGGGCTAGAAGGGTTGTGAATGTAGAATAATATGTAATCTGCGTAGAGTGGTGAGTAGTGTCAGTCTTGGTCTTCATTTGCCCTTCAACTGTTGCCACATCTGAATGGTGTTCTTCCATGTTCTTCGTTTGCCGTTCCGCTTTTCAGGCATCTGTCGCTGAATTCCTCGTGGAACGTTACGGACTTCGGTCTTTTGTCACCTGATGAGCAAAGCGCTTCATTCGGACGGGACGACGGGACGAGGGGCTAGGCCCAGGCATGGTCGACGTCAGTATGGCAAGGGCAAGTTCACCCCCCCAAGAAGGCCATGCCAAGCGTCCTTGGTACTAGGTACGGCCAGGAGCCCCTAGCCGCGTCCGATCGCTCCTAGTAGCGATGCCAGGAGCCCCTAATAGCTCACTAGTAGCGTCCTTCAGGTGTTATATCGGTAGTCCGGCTTAGAACAGTTGTGAGTTTTTGGTGTCACTTGCACTTTAGGTTGAGATGCTGCGACGACAGCCTGAACTCTTGGATGGATGCTGATTTGCCAAAGTTGCAGGGGAAAAGGTGATTGCACGTCGTGGATAGAAGCCTTATGAGTTCATTTGAAGCCTTTGTTGTCTGGTGGTTGCTGTTCCTCTGCATCTTCCGCTGAGGAGGTGGACATAGATCCAGGGTATTTCATATTTGTTTGGTAGTAACAATAGCTTCTTGTTTCTACTAGCTTCTTGTTACTACTAGTAAGGCACTTGTTACTACTAGCGTGGCACTTGTTACTAATAGCTTCTTGTTACTTTCTCGCCCTCTTGGACATCTGAAACTGTTTTGACCCGAGCCCGATGGGCCATCCGGATGAATGAGGTGGTTGATGCCTCAGCTTCTGAAAAGCTCAACGATCTAAATGTTTGTACAGACTGGCTTTCACTTCACTTCTTTCACCTGTTTTGTTCTTTTTTTTTTCAGTGGGTTCCTTTGGTTTATTTGCTGAGTTCGTCCTCAGCAACGAGCTGAGACATGCCGCATCCTCATTGCAACATGCCTTCCATCGCATGTCACTGTTTGCAAAAAGCTATTCGCCTGTGCGAATCCTGAAAACAACACAACATTTGGGATCCTATCAAGCCTTGGATCCTGTTTGGGATCCTTTTCTTTTAGCTCGGTCTAAAGGCTGCTTAGGATCGGTGGGAGGCCTGTCCTGATCCGGATTTCAGGTGGAAGGCGCAGGTCTTGCTTTGCGCCCAAACCTGAGAACTTCACCGAAAGCCAGACGCGTGAAAAAGGACACCCTGCGGTCGCCCCGCGGTCGCCCTAAAACGGTCCCAAGAGGTCCTTTCAACACATTTCGGGTCTAGAAAGAGAGAGAGAAGCACATGAAACACATCCTAAAAGGGGGTCCAAGCAAGAAAGCCGAAACGTCTAGAAGGACACTAAAGAGAACAAAGCAAGAAGAAGAAAGCGTGAGTCTCCAAGCAAAGAAGAAGGTCGGGTGATATTAAGTCGATTTATTCAAATACTATATACACAGAGAGGTTGGTTGAGACCAGCGATTTAAAGAACAGGACGCTACTAGGGGCTCCTGGCCTTAAAGAACATGGTGTACACTAGCAGCCGTGGAGTTTCTGAAGCTTTCAACCTGCCGGTGCTTCTTCAATCTGAGTACGCCCTCAGTAGAACCCTTTTAAGCGACTTGACCGGCGCACCGCTCAGGCCATCAGTGTGACAGCAACGAAGTTTCGGTCAGCGCCATTGCATGAGGCTGGAAACGAGCAGCGAACAGGCAAAGCAGCAATTTCCTCAAAGGGAAGACCGGAATGTCGAGAAGTACTGTTTGTTTTCTTGGTAAGTTTGGGCGAAGAGAGTAGTAGTTCAAGCCAAAGGAAAAAGGAAAGGAAGACATGTCTATAGTATAGTTTGCCATTAAGTTCTCAGACGCAGGAGAGCCCCAGCCACAAGGAGATCTTTGAGAACCAAAGTGGGTCTGTAGCTGCCACACCTGCGTGTTTTAACTGCAACTGGGAAGGCCTTCTCAGGCCTGGAAGGCCTCAATGAGCAGTATGGAGCGGACAGAGTTTGTGTTTTTATGAATATGAGCATCAAAGGACACGCAAGAAGATGGACCTACTAGCGATGGCCTCCAACCTACTAGCGAAAGCACATGCAAGAATATGTGCAAGAAAAGATCCACCAAATACTGATTTGTTTGATACCGTGAATGAAGGCAGCAAAGTCCAAGAACGAAACACTTGTGCAACTGACAGAGTACCTACAACACTGCAACATGCGAATGTGACACTGAATGAGTGCGAACAATGCAGATTTTGGATATTTTATGGCAGCCTCTAAACGCCAGGCAATTGCTAGTACTTTGTGCATTTTGGCAACTTTGTTCAGTTTGATCCTGGCTGCTTTGGTGGTCGGAAACTGAGAAGCTGCCAAATTCAAAGTACCGGATGCTACACTTCTAGACGCCACATGCTAAGCCACTTGATACATGTCTCCAACAACACTCTGTTGGAGCTGGCTTTGTTTCAATAGAACTTCTTTGAGAACAGGTTGGAGGCCATCGCTAGTAGGTTGGAGGCCATCGCTAGTAGGTTGGAGGCCATCGCATGTACAGACAGCTTGCACTTTGGACAGTGCCTGTGAGGTTTGCGTCATTCTGCTGGACCGCGCCCTAAGCTGGAAGCACCAAGCCACCTACTATGCTTGCAGACGCCAGGCTAGTTTTGGAAGTGGGTTTTGTCCAGACACAGCGGCTTTGCTTGGAAACTTTCATAGACACCACATTCTAATTACAAGCTTCTTGTTTCTACTAGCTTCTTGTTACTACTAGTAAGGCACTTGTTACTACAAGCGATGCACTTGTTACTACTAGCGAACATTGTTTGCCGTTTGAACATCACTTCAATCCTGAAAGGTACAAAGGGTCCAAGAAGCCCTCATGAAAGGGAAGGACAACCTCTCACTGTCGGAGACTCATATCGAATATGCAAAACTGACTCCAATTATATAGGTCTAATATAGTTTTCTATTGGGTTGGAGGAGGCCATCCCTAGTAGGTTCAGGGCCATCGCAATTAGAAACAAAGAACAGGAAGAAAGGTCTATTGTCGAATTCACGTTCAGCAACCAGGTGTCCTTGCTGTGTGGAATGCACATTGTCCCGCTCCCAGTAGCGGCCGGCCTGCGTGTCGTCAATAGCTGATTTTCCATCGATGAGTGCTGGGAAACGTTTATGTGGATTTAGAGATTGGATACTCTTTGTTTGACTTTTAGCAAGCCATTCAGCCCTTTTCATGTCAATGTCTGTGAGTCCTGCTTGCATTGTGAAGACATTTTCACTGACTCAGGAATACACAAGCTCCAAAGAAAGTGAAGTTTCTTTGCGGCCATGGCTACCATCTGGATTGCATCAACAGCTGGCCAAAGACCAAGATTAAGATCATAAGCAACTGCAAAGAACAAAATTATAGACTCGCTGATTGTAGCTAATGACCGTCTGGTCAAGCTGTCTTGAGGTTTCAAGAGAACCCGCAATCCGTTGGTTGCTGCCCGGTTTGTGAAGTGGGAAAGCTTCAGCAGGAGACACGGCGGACACGACGGAAAGAGACCACAGAAGTGTCAGAAGTGAACACTGAATGGCCAACACGACACTGCAAAGTTGCACCCCAATTGATCAGAGACGTACCTACACCAATTAGGATCGAAAAACTGCGTCAGCTTTTGGGCCTTTACATGAAAAATCAGAAACACTTTTTAAAATCCCTGGGGTGGTCGATTCAAGGTTGGAGGCCGCCGCTAGTGGGTTGAAGGCCATCGATAGCAGAGGTTGGAGGCCGTCACGTCATGACTTCTAGGTTGGAGGCCATCGCTTGTAGGTTGGAGGCGATCGCTATTCTTCTGCAAACAGATGTGAACAACCAAAAGGAGCGTCAGAAGGGCCAAAGCTGGCTGTCGGTTTGCCACGCGACCCGCCTTGGTCGAAAGCGCTGGTCGAAGATGTCGAACGAAGTGAGTTTAGAGAGTCTGGTGGGCAGATGCGACATCCGTGTTGGTAGATCACGTTGGCCTGGTGTTTGACTTTTTGGCAGAGTTTGGTGAGTTTGTGATGAAAAAAGATGCCTGGTAAACTAGGGGTTGCATCACCAAGGTCATTTTTGCCCCTAGAAGGAATTCTGAACAACAACCGCTGGTAGACCAAAGGGCGGGACACAGAAGACTTCCGAGGCCATATAACACCTACCCAAAGAGGTTCGTTGCTTTGTAGAACGGCCCTCGAAGAAATGGCCTCCAACCTACTAGCGATGACCTCCACCCTAGAAGGGGCGCCCGATCACCTGCAATTGCATGCGCATCGCCGTTTGCCACCTCAGCAGAGCCTTGCGACAAAGCAGAGGCGATGTGAGTTCGTTGAAGGGGGTCTTTACTAGGGCCTTCCGGTTGATGTCTTTGTAATGCTATCAACTACTATTACATAAATAACCATAGATATATTATATGTTGCGAAAACCAGCAGATAGGCTTACTATTAGTCTCTGCGAATGAAGTGCGCCTATCCGTGCATGTAAATCATAGTAGCCTGCAGGTGTTTTTTTTGGAGTGCAGAGACAATGCATCACAAAAGGTACACATACAACGACTCCCACTGATGTGGGCTCTTCTCGAGCGTGTGTTGGAAAACTGGTTGAGCCTTACGTGATACGGTTTCCCTCGTCTTTATTGATTGGCTTTCGTTTGCCCCTTCTCAGGGTTGAGCAAAAGTCGATTGGTATGGCCAGAGTGTATGCACCACTAGGAACATGCACAGCGAACCTAAATGACAACAGCATACCCTTGCTGCGCACCAAAGTTCTTGTAACATACAGGGCTGCAAAAGCAGGGGCACATCATCTAAAACCTTCAAGCTCTATCCGACTCTATCCGCCCCTAGTAATAAGGCACTTATTACTAGAAGCGATGCACTTGTTCCTAATAGCGAACATTGTTACTACTAGTAAGGCACTTGTTACTAGTAGCGATGCACTTGTTACTACTAGTAAGGCACCTGTTACTACTAGCGATGCACTTGTTACTACTAAAGAAAAAAACACATACAAAAGAATCCAAAAGCCGAAAGGAAGGAACAGAGGAGGAAAGGTCTAAAAGAAAGTAACAATTAAGAAGGGTCAAGCAGAATTAAGAATAAAGACAGACAGGTCTAAAGGAAAAATGCCGAAGGGTCAACAGTTTTGTGGAAAAACATGATCCCAGGAGCTGCGGAGCTGCGGGTCTGAGAAGGCGTTTGGGCTCGCCGGAGATTCGGGAGCTACTAGGGCATCGCTACTAGGAGCAAGGGTGGCCTTAGTAACAAGAAGCTAGGAGCAAAGAAGAGCGTCTTCCACGGAGTGTAAGAAAAGGAATTGAAGTAACCGCCGTCCGTAACAGCGATGAGGTCAATCCTAGAAGCGATGGCCTTTATCTCGGTTCTCTCAGAGCTTCGGTTCTCGCCTCCCCTCCTTCCCCTCCCTCCCCTCCACCTTTGAACATAGCCACATATGGCTTCATCCACGTCCCATATGGCTTCGTGCTCGTAGTAGTTGGTGATATTCCACGGCTCAGTTGAAACCCTTAGGATGCAGGCTGGGTGCTTGACAGGTGCCATGTGCAGCAATACTACCCATCATGTGCAGCAATACTCCTGATTATTGCACATTATTCGGTAACTGGACTTGGTGGGCTGAATCTCACTAGTGCTGGCCCACCAGATACCAGATACTTCTTTTCAGGCAGAAACTAGTAGCGTCCTTGCTCCGTTCGTAGCTATGCCCTTGTTACTAGTAGCTCCTTGTTCCTAGTAGTAAGACCAGAGCGCCCCCAAGTAGCGTCCTTGCTCTTAAGCTTAGGTTCCTGACCTGAAAACACGCCTCCTTTAATCCCCGTGCACCGTTTGCTTGGCAGCTGAGGGACAGGGAGAAAGGATTGTGACAGCTTCATGTGATAATTGAAATTGTTATTTTTTAAATATGCAATTGCTCCTAGTAGTAAGGCCAGGAGCCCCTAGTAGCTTCTTGCTCCTAGTAGCGATGCCAGGAGCCCCTAATAGCGTTTTAAAATATGCAATGTTTCACTCCACGACATGTTGCATCATAATTGTCCCAGTGTGCCGAACTCATGTTGTGCCGTGACATATCCTGTTGCCTTGTTTGTGCCTTTCTGGTTGTGGGACCGGACCACTTGTGTCCCAGATGGTCGAAGCTGATCACCTGACGTGTTTCATCCCTTTTACGTGGAGTGCCCCTTGTGCAGCTCTACAGCTCTGCAAGCACTGATCCTCCAGGGCGAAGTTTGCATCGATGCGCCGCGGGACGAGGAGTGAGGGAATGGACGAGCAAAGCACAGTGGCACTTGTTACTACGTTCGCTTCTTGTTACTACTACTGGGAGGGAATTCGCGTGGGCCTCCAACCTACTAGCTTCTTGCTCCTGGTCCTAGTAGTAAGGCCAGGAGCCCCTAGTAGCGTCCTTGCTCCTAGTTAGCGATGCCCTTTGTTACTAGTAGCGTCCTTGTTACTAAAAGCAATGGCCTCCAACCTACTGTAGCGATGACCTCCAAACTCATAATTGCGATGGCCTCAGACCTCTACTAGCGAGGACCTCCAACCTACTAAGACTAGCCATGACCTCCAACCTACTAGCGATGGCCTCCAAACTGATTCAGAGGACACACGGATTTTCAATGATTTTCACGGCCACAAACTGAGCGTTTGGTGCGAGGCACAGACCTTTATTCTTCACAGCTTGCATCGACGCTACCCTGCGATCATCTCGGAGGACTCAGAGTTCTCGTCGAATGTCCAGTGTGCACTGTGTACCTGTAGTGTGCAACCCGTACTCCGTACTCCTCCTGAAGAAGCAGTGCTTCGCGCACATGGTCATTGGTCGACTGTACTGTATTTATTTTGCTTTGGGTGGGAGGCCATCGCTAGGTGGGAGGCCGTTGAAAGCTTTGTCGAGCCATCGCGGTACGCAGGCTGCATACAAGAAGCATCAAGAAACACTTTCGTGTCGACATCAATGTGTGATAGAAGGGTTCTGCGTGGAAGAGGTGTGTGTTGAGGTCTCTTTCTCGTAGTAACAAGTGCATCGCTACTAGTAACAAGTGCCTTACTAGTAGTAACAAAGAAGCTATTAGAATTAAGTTTAAAGTAAATTAATAGCTTCTTTGTTACTACTAGTAAGGCACCTGTTACTACTAGCGTGGCACTTGTTACTAGTAAGCTTCACAACCTGATTCTCGTCACGGTGCCTGGCGCTATAGGAGTCTCTGGAGCGCTGGGCAGGATGCAATGCAGAGCTTTGGCTCACGGAGCTCGCATGCCCACGGTCCGAGACCCGAAGCGACGGACAGGTGACCAGAGACCAAAGAGAGCAGGTACAAAACAAGTCGATATGGTTTGGGTGTTTGGGTCAATCCCACCAGCAAGAGTAAGGGGTCAACACTGCAGTACTAATTGCAAACACTTTCATTCATCATGTTCTTTTAGTTATCTTTAGGTACAAATTCAACACCTGCCAGTCTCAGTGTGTGTATTGTCCACCTATGCGGGCCGGCTGCGTTGTTGTGCGAAAACTGCCATCGCTTAGCTCCGCATGGTCGAGTTGCGGTGCCAGAAAGGTGCCGTGACCACCATTTGTGGCCGCAAAGTATGCTTCTACACTCAGTGCTCTACAGGAGAAGAGTCAAACGCTTCTCTCTCAATGCTTCTCAGTGCTTCTACAAAGCTTTCTTCATTCGCTTCGGTACCGTCTCCCTTCCCGGGCGGATCGTACCGTCTTCCGGTCCGCTCCAGCATCTCGCGGACCGAACGTCTCAAATTGCGTCTCCCGGATCTTCTCCCCGTCCGGCCATTGCTGGCCATCGCTACTAGGAACAAGAAACTACTAGTAGCTCCTGGCATTACTACTAGGAGCAAAAAAAACTATTAGCTTAATTTAGCTTATTGTTTCTACGTTCGCTTCTTGTTACTACTAGTAAGGCACTTGTTACTACTAGTAGCAAGAAGCTACTAGGTTGAGGCCATTGCTACTCGGTTGCAGGCCATTTCTCTTTAACCTCGCAAGATCAAGCCTGTTTGCCCCTTGACGTCAGCTCTGCGATGCAGTGACATCCAAGACGCCATGTCCCAGCTTCTTGTGCCACCAAAAGGAACATCGTGACGGACGTAGAAAAAGACGGTTCTACCTTAGTCTACCTTAGTCTACTGTAGCTACCCTTGCTGATACCTGAAGCTTTCTGCGAGCGACTTTGAGATGCTCCGTTCCAGGGTGCGGGTGCCTCCGACCTAGCGATGGCCTGCCGCTTCCAAGTCCACCTCGAGACCGTTTGAACGCGAACTGACCGCGAACTTGCGTGTGCAACATCTGCTGTCAGACATCTGAATTTTCAGATGTTTTTAACATTTGTGACGGGAGGTGCGACATGACACGAACACAGAACCTGAACGTAGGAGCGCAACGAAGGCGTGACAAACACCGACCAGTGAACTTCACTCGACCCAACAAAATTCCGGCGGATAAATGTCCACCCCAAACTAAAATACAAAACGATAAGTTTACTTCGGGGTGAAATTGAATCCGCCGGAATTCCACTGTGATCCTGTGTAGGATTCTAAGAGGGTTGTAGGTCATGTGTTCACAGGCTTGTACCAACTTTTGTCCTGCCTCTGTAGGCAATTTTGAACAGGTGACTATTTCCGAACACCTGATATGAGATGAACGTCAACGCCTTACATATAACAATAGCGATGGCCTCCAAGCTAGAAACGATGGCCTCAAACATCATAGGATGCCATCATAGGCTTGCATGTGAGTCGCTGAGCCATGAAACGTGAACAAACGGGAGGTCATAGTGGGAAGTTCCTGTCTTTTATAGTCGACTCGAGGAAGAATCCGATGCACAAAATGGTAGCTTGTGTTTGGTTCGCTTTTTGGTCAATTCTTGGGCAGGTACAGCTCGATCTTCAAGAAATTTTGGGGCCGGTGCCTTTGGCCGTTCATCTAGAAGCGCTTTCATTCAGGCTAGAAGGCTACTAGGAGCAAAGGGCATCGCTACTAGGAGCTAGGACGCTACTAGGGGCTCCTGGCCTTACTCCTAGGAACAAGAAGCTAGTTGGAAAGGATCCTTTATTCCCATGGATTTACTTGCAAAGTCTCTGCGTAGTTCTTGCCTGTCCCATTGGTGAGGTAAATGAGCGCTGATAGCGAGGGGTGCGTGGAGGGTTTGAAGATATGTTATGCTCATGTTTATTTTGATAGTGATTTTCAGCTTTAAGATTGTGATTACTGCATTGTCAAGAAACTAACACGCACATGACATGCCAGCTACCCTTGATTTGGAGAAAAAGCCTGCCCCAACGAAGCCAGAAGGAACGGATCAAAAGACAAAACGAGAAACTGGGCGGAGACAGCTGGTTTCAGTATCGAAAACAAAGCTCGTTTGTCTTTGAATTGGAGGCCATTGCTATTAGGGACTCAAAAGAATATTCCAGGAGCCCCTAGTAGCGTCCGATCGCTCCTAGTAGTAAGGCCTGAGACTTTGGTTTCATTACTGAAGAGTGAAAGGTTCCTTCACACTTGAAGATGTGAAGCATTTGAGCTCGAGAGATGTGTCGTGTTCGTCCGATCCACAGCTGCCATTTTGGCGTGGCGTATTGCGCTGGTTTCTTTCGTGGAGCTGGGAGAGTTTTCCTCGGTCATGACTGCAAGCTAGCGAAGCTAGAGCTGACAGTGAGGAGGGAGTTCAAGGACTGTGGTTTGAACGTAATCGTTCTTGTTCAAGGGTTATTGCAAGGGTTTGTGATGTGGTGGCATGTTGTTTGGCGAATCGTGTTGTGGTTTGTGAAATCTCAAATGTTCAATACTGATTCCGGCTGATCCCTACTTGTTAAGACTTTCTATACACTTTCTAAAGACATTGAAACATGTTTTTAAATATTCTTTAGACCTTTAAAACTCTTTTCTTGTCGAGACTTTCTCTATAGACGTTTTCTTATTCGTATTTTTCTCTAAACATGTCCACTAGTCGAGACTTTCCCTTGAACATTTCCTGTTTTATTCCACTCACCTGCTGTCATTCTTTTCCCCCTGCTTTTGCCGGAGGCCATTGCTGTTAGGTTGGTTGGAGGCCATCGCTAGTAGGTGGAAGGCCATCGCTATTAGCGACAATATTGCTGCTTGCAACCAATGAACACATGAGGCTTTTACGTTCCCAGTTTGCCATAGAGTGTCCCGTTCAGGCTGGGCTGCTCCTTTTCGAACGCTTATATGGCGGTTTGCTTTCCTGGACTGAGGGCAGCCAAGGCACGAGTGCTTTGAAGTGGACGAAGACCATAGGGATCGCAGTCGAGAGCGGGCACGGCCTCCAACCTATGCGCGCTCAACCGCATGTGTCTTACAGATTTCTGCCTGAACTCACAGAGTGGTTCCTTCCCAACAAGCTTTCTTGGGAGTATCTTGCAGGTCTGTTCGACGCCATTGCTCTTGTTCGAATCTGTAGAGGCCAGCTAAGTCTGGAGATACCGCACAAATGCCATATTCTCTTGGAAAATATCAAGGCATTTCTGGAAGACAGGCTCGACGCAAGAACTGGTGAGAAGCGAATCAATCTTCGAGGTTTCCACCGGTGCCGTTTGATCATCCGATGCAATGTGTTGAGTTACAAAATTCTTGAGAAACTGGTGTGTTTCTTGAGAGTAAGGCGCCCTGCAGTCGAACTTATATTGCATCCTCGTTCTGAAATCAGTCTGTATGATCTGAGACTTCTTGCATCAGCTCAAGGCGCCTTTCTTGGATTGCATCCTTCAATCAAGGGAGAGTTTCGAGTGATTCCACGGACAAAGAGCTTCAAACGCATCTTGGAATTCCAAGCGCGGCAAGAAGAGACCCATCATATTCGAGATCACCTCGAAGTTGCTAAGCACTGCTTGAGCTCCTCAAAGCACAGGCACGGATAGGCACGGATAGGCACGGATAGGCACGCAGCACAGGCAAAGGCGAGGGAGATGCTGGAGACGTCCTAGCTGGCTGCACAGTGGCAGAATGAATGCGGAACGTCGGTCTGAAAGAGGAGAGAACGAGTGATACACTTGTGACACAAAGTGGTTCCTTGCTACTAGTAGCGATGCCCTTTGTTACTGGCTTCTTGCTCCTAGTAGTAAGGCCAGGAGCCCCTGGTAGCATCCTCCCTCATGAACGAAGTGAAGAGAAATTGAGACAGCTGAGTCACGAATGATGGACTTTGAGCTCTCGGCGTTCAAGAGGAAGCCCTTCGGCCTTCGCAAACGCCATTTCCGAGCGCCATTCCCTGCCATGCGAGAAGTGCGAACGTGCGAAAAGAGGGCAACGCGATGCAAAGCGGTTCCTCCAAGTGTAGAACTGGACAGTTTTAGTTGGGAAGAGAAAAAGACATATTAAGGCTAGAGCGTTCAATATTCTGTATAAAGACCCAAAGGCTCTAAAGACGCCTTTAGGACTTTGGGCCCTAAATGAGCATCATGGAGCAATCAAGCCCGGAATGCGCATTCCAGACAGACCAGAGCTCTAAATGCATTCATTTTAGGTCTAAAATACACCCCGTTTGGTATCTCAAGAGATGGTTCTTCCAACTTGGCAGGAAGGCCTTCCATTCCAAGATTACAGAAGACGCTCATTGATCGCTGAAACAACATTGATTTTTTGGAGCTTCATAAAAATCTGGGAACCAAGTCATTAGAAGCGTGAGTTATCCTGCGTCCTAGCTAGGAGCGTCCTACTTAATAGCTACAATAATAGCTACCTCTTCTCCTCTATCCGCGCCGGGCTAAAAAAGAGCGAAAAAAAAAACAAAGCAAAGAAACCAGCAATAAACATGAGTTCATTAGACCATCGCTAGTAGGTTGGAGGCCATCGCTCTTAGGGTTAAAAAGGACAATCCTTCTTTAGAAGCGACTAGTTTAACAAGCTACTAGGAGCAAAGGGCATCCTACTACGGGCTCCTGGCATCACTACTAGGAGCATTCTTGCTACTAGTAACAAGAAGCTACTAGTAACAAGTGCCATGCTAGTAGTAACAGGTGCCTTACTAGTAGGAACAAGAAGCTACTAGGAACAAGAAGCTATTAGAAACAAGAGCATCGCTTCTAGTAACAAGTGCCTTACTAGTAGGAACAAGAACGAGTGTCACTCGAAGAGATTGAACGCCATTTCAGCTCAGTGGGCCGCATGCTCCAGCCATCCAGTGGCCACCATAGACGTGCAACAGAGCACATAATTACTGGAAATGTTTGTTTTTTCACTTTCTCAATTTTGGAAGCGTTTAATTTCCATGTATCTTTTGTTTCTTTCTGTTCTTTTCTGCTTCTTTTCTTGCCTTTCCTAGGTTTTGAGGAGCATGCCATTGTCTTAGAATCGCCATTCGTGGGCGTGGGTGGCCTTCCCTTTGCGTGAACCAAATGCTTCACATCCAAGGAACTCTTTGCTTCTGCTTCTTAGATTTGCCTTCAAATCGGTGCTGGCCCCGAAGTGGTGTGAAGGTTCTTGAAATGGAAACAAATACACGAAGTCACTGGGTAAAGCCAAGGTCATTGTCCTGCTCCAAGTCTTGTTTCTTCTTTACGGAGCCTACGCAGCGTACGATATCCGACTTTATCCCATCAAGGCTCGCGTGCCAAATATGATGGAACAGTATTGAACAGTTGTTTTTGAGTTTGTAGGATTTCTAGAAACAGTTTCCCTTGCAGGATTTTGGCTATATTATTCATGAGTTGAAAGCTCAGGGACTTGTTTCGGCCGTAGGCCCTTTCCTACCAGGACTCTGTTTGAAGGCTTTATGTAGTAACAAGTGCCACGCTAGTAGTAACAGGTGCCTTACTAGTAGTAACAAGAAGCTACTAGGAACAAGTGCATCGCTAGTAGTAACAAGTGCCTTACTAGTAGTAACAAGAAGCTACTAGGAACAAGTGCCTCGCTAGTAGTAACAAGTGCCTTACTAGTAGTAACAATGTTCGCTACTAGGAACAAGTGCATCGCTACTAGTAACAAGAGCTTTGCGGTCTGAGAAATCCGAAGAATCCGAACGAATAAGGTTTGATCCTTGGTTCAACTATCGAGCTGCAGAGTACTTGGCAGAGCATGGCTTGTGCGCTCGGTTAGGACTCTTCTCCGGCCAAAAGGGTGCTTAGGAGCAAGGACGCTACTAGGAGCAAAGGGCATTTCTACTAGTAACAAGGACGCTACTAGGGTCTCCAAAGGGTAAGCTCCCAAAGCAGCAGAGTTCGCGAAGACGTTCTCAGGTACAAGTTCCTACGATGGTACGACTACGAGTCCTGGTATCCCATTGGGCGTCCAATTGGGACAACGTGAGCTGTCTCAGGATATTCAACTTTGGAGTCTTTGCAACTTTGGCCAACGTTTCGTGCTCATTCTGCCAGCTCCAAGGATATATCCTGGCATGCAAGTGACTGGAGTCGTCATTCAGGAGGTGATGAGGAACAGTGTCACGATTCTTTTCACGCTCTTAGGTCGGAGGCCGTCGCTAGTAGGCTATCGCTATTGTGTGACGACGTGAGTTCTCGACTTTGTCACGGCATCGACTTTGCCTGGAGGTGATGAAGAAGATTGGGGACTTCAAGATCCAGACGCCATCCGTACTCTTGGCAATGAGGCCGACAGAGAGCCAGAGAGGAGAGAAGAACAGAGGACGACAGAGAAGATGAGAAGTAAGATGAAAGAAGCTTTCAGTCAAGAACACAGAAGTAGATGAAGGAGTGCGGCAAACATGTGTCCCATGACAAAGTAAGAGAAATATCATGTTTGTGTTTGTGTTTAAGAGCCGTTTGAGCAATGCGCGCAACATGCTTACTTTTTCAGACCGTTCATCTCCTTCCTCAAGAGAAGTGGTTGGAGGTTTTTGTCCTGCACTTGGAACTTTGCCAAAGCAACTACCGTTTTGCCTAATTTTGCCTGTGCTCCGCAAGTTCGAGTTTGATTTCATGGATGTTTTTCTCTGTCAGGACTTCATTTCCTTTTCTTTTGTTGACCATTTGTTCATGAATGAGTTCACCAGAGAGCAATCTCTAACTTATTAATTCTTTAGTATAATCATTCATAAATGCAGCATGTCTTTAGTTAAGTTTCCCTAAACATCTACGAACCAAATCATTAGTGCGAGCGTGAGCTATCCTGCGTCCTAAGTAGTAGCTACTTAAGCTACTAGCTACCTCTCCCTTCCTTAATTAAGTAGGGAAAACATGCATTGTAAGGTCTTAATTCAATAAAAAAAGCTCCTGTGCAACCACTTTCACTCTCCTCCATGGAGCTCCAACTGAGTGTTATTCCAAGCGACAGAGTCGGAAACAGGGTGAGCTGCTGCACAAAGTACGGTCAAAGTGTCCAAAGTCTTCCTATTTCGGCCTCCAATAGCGATGGTCCTCTCATTTAGGGGTTCTTCCCAATTCGGGTGACCGATGAGCAGTGAGTGACAGTGTGGTGACCACCGGTGAGCACGGCGGGCAACCAAAGGCCGTCGATCAAGCAGAGCTATGAGTTCACTCCCATGAGTCCGACGCTCAGCTCTATCGGATCTCCCCAAAAAACACATAGAGGAAGCTTACTACTAGCTTCTTGTTACTACTAGTAAGGCACTTGTTTCTACTAGCTTCTTGTTACTCAATGGGCTAAATGCGAGGGCCTCCAACCAAAATAGAGGAATGCCTTTATCATCTAAAGGACACCGCAAAGGCAACGAACCGAATTGAGTCTTTTCAACAACTTCGAGTGTGGCCTTCGTCCTGTCTCGCTTTCATATCCGATCATCTCAGGCTTGAATGACATTTGTTGCATGATTCCACCCTGGTTCGGAACCTATGCGTCGGGCGCTTGGAAGAAGGTTTGCCATCAGAGGAGTGATCAAGTGATCCACAATCCAAAGACACTTCTCACAAATCGTGGCTGTAGGTCAGTCTTCACTGGTCTTTTGACCTACGAGATCTCCAGAAGTGTTGCCAACTTAGAACAGGCCAGGCACTGCGTGCCTCAGTCTGACAGACGCTTTAAGGTGAATGCCGGCGTGGCTGCAACTTTGATTATGGCCATCATCCCTGCACATCTCATGAGGCGGTGAGAATCAGCATGGAATTTAGAAAAGAACCTACTAGCGATGGCCTCCAACCTACTAGCGATGGCGGGGTCCCAAAGGAGCTGAAGCACTTGCTTCTTTTCATCTCTTTTTTACTTCCAAAAGAGGTCCGTGGGTGGGGAGTTCGACAACGAAGCCGTGGCAGTCACTGCCATTTGTTCCACGTTCTGGTTGCATGGAGCCCAAGAGAGGAGCATCTTTCATCCGTTGAAGAGGTGTTGGGAGCGCCCAGCCCCTGATGCGAATATATCAAATTCAAACCTACTCACCCTGGTCTGTTAAAGGCGTGGATTGGACTTTGACGTCTTGTCCGAACCACCTTGGCATTGGTAAGGAACATACTTACGACAGGAACTTTCGCTTTGCTTGTGGCAGAACTGGGCGACATACCGTGATCTGATGTGTGGTGAGGTCATGCTGCGTGCTCCTAGTAATGCCCTTTGCTCCTAGTAGCTTCTTGTTCCTAATAGTATGGCCAGGAGCCACTAGTAGCGTCCTTGTTCCTAGTAGCGATGGATATTGAGGTGATTTGTGATGCTGTTGCTTTGTGATGTTGTGATATGCGCGTGCTGATTTGTGGCGTGGTGAAGTTACATATTGATTTGTGGGGTGTGGTGCTAGAGGTTTGGAGGTTACTAGCTGGACATGTCCACGGGGAGCGCACTCAGGGATGAAGTGCTGGGCTCCATGGCCAGCGTACGAACGTGGAACAGTGGATTGAGTGGCAGCAGGCAACGTCAAAAAAGGTCGTGGCAACTCCTGATAACCATGGCGGCAGGTGACGGATCTCACCAGTGGCTCTGCTTGCTGCATTTGCTGAAGCTGACATCATCTTTACTTCGACAGAGCGAGTGTCAGAGAACAAGGAGTTGACAAATGACTTGCCACAACAGTTTGACAACATGCTCCCTGAAGTGTTGCACATCCACAGCTACTTTGTAGTGAGGTGCTGATTTGTAGTGTGGTGATGCGTTATGTGGTATTTTTGTCTCGATGATTTGCAAGGTGTTGCTTTACTAATGCCCAGCGCACACTTGACGCATCCAGGACAATGCGTTTCGCAACCTGCAGTTCGACTCTCCCATAGAACTGCTAGACTTCGCGCCACTGTACCACCCCACTAAGTAATATCTGCAGTGTTTCATGAATGAACCTACCACAAATCCAAAACTCCCACTAGGTGTAAGATTTCGTCACTGGAAAAGTCATCCGTGGC